TAAAATCACCTTAGGTGGGTCTCAGACTTCAAAGCTATAACTTAAAACTAAGTCAGAATTCACCATCATTTTCATCACTTTCAACTACATAGGTTAAAACAAAAAAAATTTAAAAAAAAAAGGGAGTTCAGTTATACAGAAGTAAATCACTTTTTGTTCTTCAATTTGTTTTGACATGTTCACTGCGGAGACACTAAATGTTTGCATTGTTAGCATGTGCTGAATGATACCAATTGCTGTCATGTAACTTGTTATTAAATGCACTATAATTTAATTAGTGTTACTTTTAAACTATTCGTTTTTTGTTAGCGTCTAATATCATTTTTATTTCATAAATAACGTGCAAGTTGTTAAATTGTAGATAGATATTTTAATTTTTCAATTTTTAAGTTTTTTTTTTATAAACTTCCAATCGTTAAACACCACAACAAGTATACATGCAGCTTATGCGTTAATTTTTATTTATTATCTTTTAATTATTTGTTTTTATATAAATTATTATCATGAAAAATTATTTAATTATATTTACCTTTTATAGCCTGTTGCAGAAGAACCATTTAGATTCGCTACAGAGTTAGATGATCTACCCAGAGAAACTTTAAAACAAATGATCTTTGCTGAAACTGTGAATTTCAAACAAAATGTGTAGGAAAAATATGGATACTATATGTTTTAAATTCCTTACAGTGCTTAAACTCTTTTCTTCTAAATTTTGAACTTATATTGCATTTCAATAATTGATATATTTCTCGCTTCTTTACAGTTCTTTACAATATATAATCCTACCCTTAAGTTTAAAATATTCATCTTAGTATTAAGTACGACTTATTATGTAGTTAAAATTGTATGTATTATTATTATTATAAATTTAATATTTAATTTATATTATTTGATTTTTATCAAATTTGTTGTTACATAATCAGATATTAGCCTTATAAAGTATTTGCCCAAAACATATTTTCCTTTTGAGTGATAAAATTAAATATTGTTAGTTTTGAAATATTTAATATTACTAATGTGATCATTTAAAGGCAATCACTGCATTATGATAAAAAAATATTTAGCTAGAATTTTAATAGTGTACATTTTTTTGTTCCCATCCGGCCATTTCCCTCATTCCCTGTCATTTGTGATAATATTCATGGTACTTATACAGTATATTTACTAATATTTTATTAGATGTCGTTTAGAAATTAAATCAATGTAAAATTGTGTTGTTAGCTAAATTCAGGAGTAAATTTATGACTAAAACTTATTGATATTACACACATTTTAAAGTTTAACATTCAATATTTTCTGTTTCACAAAAAAAAAAAAAAAAAATTGTGCTATTAATACCGTAAGTGACCTATTTTTGAAAATAAAGTCGATTAAACATTTAATAAAGTTCAATTGAGTGATTACGTTCCTTTGAAACCATTTTGTAAATAATTTTTGCTATTGTTTAATATATAAGTATATTTATTTTTATTAATTCAATATATCTTCCAAGCTTAATACTTGACCGTTTTCACGTATCTATTAGTTTTGCTCATTGTAAACAATTTTGTTGTTATTTAACAATAAAATTAATGGTATTTTTTAAGGAATATTCTTATAAAACTTTAAAATTTAATTTTGAAAATGAAACATTCAGTAAATCATGTGATAGTAAAATTCATTATAAAATCACTGCTAAAACATATTGTTCGTCAAAACAACAAAATTAAAATGTCGTAATATTCAGGAGTTACAGAAAACACCGACAGGTGTAATTTAATAACTATGTAATAACTTTTATTCTTATCAATTATTTGTAAGTAAATGTTTTTAATTTAGATGTTATATGGAAATAATTGTTAATTGTTTAAAAAAAAGATTTAATATTGATCAGAACAAAATTGATTACAAGATTAATTATATTTATCATCTAATTCTGTTACACTCTGTATATATTTAGCGACCAAATTGTATTTTGACGATTCGTACTGATTACTTTAATGTGTTCTCAGAGGCCTATCATTTTATATATTTATTTATTTATTATTATTAACTAAATAAAAATCTAGATAACTTTTGTTATATGTCTTAGAGCTTACAAATGCTATTCAATTTATATTGTTGATATACAAATGAATGTTTAAAAACTGATTTAAGCGCATCGCGCATATTAATACTTTTTATTGTAATTTGAATATAAATTATTCTTATTTAATCTGAGTTTTGTAATATTCCATTGAACAAGAATTTTGTTTGATGTAATTGTTTCAACACATCTGGTTTCAAGCCAAAGTTAAATTTAATTAAATAATTAAGTACAAAGCCGGACAATTAAGAACAATGCTAAGTATTAACTTTCAAAAAATGTTTGTAATAAATGTTTGTAGTATTTATTCATCTTAAGTAAAATAATTGTACACATACAAATTATTGGTATAAATGCTAAAATAATAATTATTTTTATTCCTATATTAATTCATTAAAAAAAAAATTATAAACCTTACAATATTTTGTACTTGATATGATAAATTACTTACCTATTAGCATGAAAACAATTCATACAAAAAATTAGATGTACTGTCAAGTTTTTATTTTCTAAAACTATTTCATTATCAGCCAAAAAATTAAATAAAATAATTTGAAGATTTTTTCATAATGTGTGTCTACTATATTTTTTACTTTTACTATATTCAATTTTATTAGAAATAATAGCAATAAAAATAGTTTTAAGTAACCATAATTTTCATTTATATTAATTGTTTGTGTTTATATGTGAGTGCAAATATTTTACTATCAAACGAGCACAAAATAACTGTTATCCACATACAAATTTACATTTATAATTAGCAACTAGTAAAGAAATTAAGAATTTACCTTTATTCAAATAACCTTAATCAATTGAATTGGTATTGATATTATGTGCTCTTTTGTTTTTTAACTACATACTATACAATTATTGTGTTTAACTTATTATGATTATGTAAATTATTAAAGTAATATCGCATTTACATTATTTATAATAATCATTATTCCATTAATTTTATTTATTGTTCGCTTTTTCAAACTTTATTGTTGTTATAAAATTGATACTTGAATGATTGTTAAGTAATATGTGAAGGAGTAAAATATGTATATTTTTGTCATTACATATTAACAGTATATTTGGCAATAATATTTTACCTATGTATGTGTAATTTGTATTTATTAAATTAAATATACTGAAGAATGACAATGCGTTGGTTTATAAATCGTTAAATACCTGTAGTCAGTGGCGCCGAAGTCCATGCTGACGTCGGGCCGTGGGCCATATTTAATTTACATCATAACTTTATTATAAGCATGAGTAAATTTAAACCGTGATTATGAATAAATTTATATTAGGGTACCTCTATATTAAATAATTAAGATATTGAGGCCGGGAAGTTTTAAAATTGCCCGACCACATTTTAAAAACTTCGGCGCCACTGCCTGTAGTATAATATTATGGACATTGAATATCTATTATTAAAACCGAAACTTGAGGAGCAAAGTTTTATTAGAAGAAAGTTGGAAGTTTTCACATTGATTAACTGTACATTGTGAGGATCATTGAGCACAATATATTTATATAAAGGGTGTAACAGGAAGACCTGACAAATTAAATATTTTCTATATTCTAATCAATCTTTTTATTTTTTTTTAGTATATAATTTATTGACTCTTGCGTTACCTAAGCGTATAATATCACATTTTTATTTTTTAATATTGAAAATAAACAGTTTTGAATTTGATTTAAATATTTATGTAAGTTGTGGTTCAATTTTTTTTTCATTTTAAAGTAACTCATTAATTTGAAAAGCAATACATTTTTAAAAAAGTTTATACTTTTTGAATTTAAATTGTTTTTTTACAACTAGATCACCTTTACTTAATAAAAATAATGAAATATCAAAAAATTTAAAAAGTTATCTACATTACTTAAATAAATAAAAATGTTTCTAAAAACCAGATTACAAATTGGCTATTTTAAATTTTCAAAAAATAAATTTATCATATTTAAATTTTTTATTTTCAATACTGAATAAATGTCATGCGATATGTGACACAAACATTTGAAAATGATATAAAAAAAAATAAATATTTATTACAAGTTATTTAATTTGTATGGTCTTCCTGTACACTCTGTACTGGGCCCAATTACAGCATATAGTCTTAAAGCTAACATCCATGAGAAAAACATTTTTTTATAATATAAAAGACAGATTTAACATCTTTCAGTAAGGATAAGGTAGTAAATATAATAGATATCGTGCACACTACAATAGCAGTTACCAGGAAGATCAAAGTAGGGGAATATCTATACTTTATACTTCAGTATTATTCATTGGCGGAGAGAAGGCAGAGTTAAAAGATGAAGAGAAAAGAAGAGAAGAGATTTGCGAGTGTTGTTAATTTACGTCAGTGATGCCATTGTACATTTGACAGATTTAGGGATCAATTTACTAGAACATTGATTTCTAACAAATAAATGCAACTGGTACTGTAAGTACTGATTATAAATCAAGAAATTATATTTTAAAGATATAAAACCATCATGACTGTATAATTTTTTTTTTTTTTGTATTTTTACCGTATTTGATTGTTTTAATCATTTATAATGGGTATGTAATTAATAATTATAACATACATTTTACAAAAAAAAAAAAAATACTTAATATGAAAAATGACATTTTAAAATAATGATTTTTTACCAGCGCAAGGCTTCTGGTTGGAAATAAGTAATTAACTTTCTAAATATTTAATAATACAAATAAAAATAGTTTTTTAAGTTAATAGTTATTGTATTATACACATATTTAAATATTGTACACACATGTCAAAAGAACCTATCAAAAAACTTAACTATACATTTATACATAATGATAACTTAACTGTATTATATTATAATAACTATAATTAGGTACTGAACAAATAATTGTACCCTACTGTTGAGATGTTTCAAACTTGCCCGATCAATAAGGTTTTGACTTCTAATCAATCAATCAATTTTTTCTTTTTCTTTCTTTCGCACTAACATGTTGACTACCAGAATAATTGGTTCTTTTATTTGCCTTTGGTAGATTACAACTACTTGAGAAAAGCTCTCCACCTACATCATTTTTTACTGCACTCAAACTTTTATTAAACACATCATTTGCTGGAAGTGTTTCATCTAAAATGTTGGGTAATTCTGATTCCAATGCCATAGATTCCAACATTGCCCAATGAACGTTTATTTTAGGGTTCTTAATCAGTGCTGGATAATAATCGATGGGCATGCTTTCACATATTTTCCTACCTATTGAGATTTGTTTATCTGTTAACGACTCATAGACTTTTGTTGGTTCCATTGGTTTTACTGGTTTCAAACATTCAAGAAATGGCAAAAATATTACATGAAATCCTGATGGATGGTTTTGAGTACCCGATTCGTCCTTAATTTCTGCTTGAGGTATCAGGACGGATAAATGAACTCTTCCTCCATTCCTAATTTTTATGGAGCACATTATACATTTATTTTCTTCCAAGCAGCATTCAAGAAGAGTATTAAACATACGAATACTACTTTCAACTACATCATTATTAGGGCGAAGGAAGATGGACGTTTTAAAATGGTACAATATCATAATATTTTCTTTATTTGTAAAACCAAGTAATTTAATACCAGGTTCTATAATACCACTTTTCAGAATTGTCATGTCTTCGTTTTTAAAAATTATTTTTTCCTCTCCTACTACCAAATATTTAGCCTGATCAGATTTATACATTAATTCTTTAGTGTGTAATGTAAATACTTGAGTATTACTAGTCAAAGGTTTATTAGTCCTTTTGTCCAGCTTTACTTTTGATGGCATTTTTAATTTTGTATAAAATTTGTACAATGCAGTAGATATGTAAAATTCGTTATTAATAAAGAATTTTATTTTTGATACACTTCTACCATGTTTCAATTTGTCATTGATTTCCAACATAATATCATCTATACTCTCTAACCCATTGATGGGTTTTGAGATACTGTTGAAGTTCTTTAGGAGACCTTCATAGAAAAGGTTCATGTTAAATGTGGCACCAATAGGTATAAGCTTAAAATCAATATTGTTTTTAATAACATCATCAATTCTTGTTCTTAGATGGAATTGTTTTTTAGAATCCCCTATGTCAGGTTGATCATTGCATGTAATGAGCATAATAGTACTACAGCTTTGATTTTCACTACATTTTTTTATAAGATAGTTACTATACCATACCGCGTCTGATAGTGGTGACAAAGGACATTTTCCAGTTTGAATGGGGTTACCAGTTAGCACATCATCAAGCTTTTTAATTAACTGAATGTTAGGTTTTATTGGTTCGGACAACACATTAATATACTTGGGACATTTTTTATTTTCATCGTTTGTACCGTATATCAATATACCTATTTTATCATTTCTGCTCTCTCTAATAAGTTTTAAAACTACTTTTTTGCAAAGTGCAATACTTGTTGCGAAAAAAGTTGTGTTGTTATAAGTATTGTGCATTGGTTTTGAAGCATCAATTAAAAACATGATATGTTGTTTTACAAACCATCTTTGTTTTTCTTCTTCAAAAGTTTCACTCTCCCATTCAATTGGGGAATCTGTTAAACTGTCCATTTTATCGAGAAATATATTATCTAAAAACAAATGAAATAAAAATATTAGTGTGAGATACAATACAAAATTACAAACAGAGCTGTGTTTAACGGGTGGCAAAAGGGGAAACTGCCCCAGGCATCAACAATTTTTTAATACCAATAATCTATTATTATAATAAACTATAATAATGGAACATACTAATCTCCTATTCCCTTGTTGGTTCAACCAAACATTTTATAGCATAGATTATTATACACCAATATGTAAATGTTTGTACCGTGTTTGAAACATAAATTCTCAATCTGTGTTACTATTGTAATAGCTATGGTACACAAGTATTAAATAGTAGAACTAAACAGAATTTAGAGTAAACTACTAAGCTAATGTTACATACCTACTAAATAACAATAATTTTTATTCATATAATAATATTTCACAATAAAATGATGTACAAAATACAAATAATAAGATACTTTATACCTCTTCAATAAGCATCAGGTATCTGTAAATTTGAACATACCCATTCATTGTGATGAGAGTAATATTGAACGCTAATGTCTCTCACCAACGATTAAAGATATAATCTTTAACCGTGCTCTCACAGTCTCACCACATACACTTACTGACATTTAATGTTGTGGTATGTGGATAACTTATGATTCATAAATAGGTAGTAAAAAAATTAAATTCTAATGCACTAAATTGGTACTACTTAATTCTAAAATAAATATAAAATGCTAATATTTAATATTTATTAGATGTCAAACATCCTCTAATCTCTCATCCATCTACTTCGAAACATCCCAGGTGACCCCAGAAGGCGATTGAAACAAAATTGGTGTCGAGAACTCTTGAACAAATAGGGATAACTTCTCACCAACGTGAAGTGGACGGATGGATTTCTTAGCCAAAGACCACAAAACACTAAATACTACACTGTAGAATAAGATTGAACCGCTTTCGCGAAAGCAGACTGAGCAGTGAGCCGCCGAACAGTGCCTGACCCCCATGCAATGGCTATGCGTTATGTGATTGACATTTGGCCGACAGTCATCGCCAGCTGTCTTTGGTTGTAGGGCGCATATGCTAACGCTCACACCAATTACATTTACATATTGTAATATTAATATTTTCAGGAGTAAAATACTATGATACATGGTGAATGCCACACGTCAATATTAATATACATCATGATACATACGACATACCTGTTTAGAATTGCAATACTTTCATATCCGACAAATCAATGGTAACCCAAGAACTCTTGATTTTTCTTGACAAATAAGATACAAATATGAAATAATACAAATTATAAAAAAACACCTGAATATCAATAAAATATAATATTATACGAATCAAATAAATCAACGTTTTGGTTTTTATTAATAAGTTATCTTCATTTACAATTTACCGCCTTTTTATTTTGGTGCCGATGATAACGTTTTTATTTTTAATCAGTGCAGCCACCATGATTCAAGATACTAAATCGTGTTGGCCATAGACTAATAACGCAGAATAGATGTGGTAATATGGAGAACTCCAATGTTCATGTCACGATTTTGACGATTTGCGTCAAACCGGTGTCATTCGCAAACAAAACTGCTTCCCAGTTGAACTCGTTCAAATAACCCATCAGTGATGGGCCATCACTACCCAGTCCACACCACGGCTTTAGATACAAACACAGAACGATAGAAAAGACGTGGTTCACACTTCCCAGTATTTTAACAGGTTATTTGGTACCATAAAATAAAATATAACCATGGTCTATGGTTGCCGGTTGGTACAACCAGTACAACATTTGTCTATTGATAAGAACGTTATAATAATATAATATTTTATCATTATTCCTTGATATTGTTATTTGTTGTCGTTCAACGCGATCCCGAATAAGTATGACGGACGATTATAATTTTTTTTTCAAAAGTTCACTACTATTTATTTAGTATTTAAGAAAGTAAACGATAAAAAAATTATTTATTCTAGTACTTCAAAGTGAAGAAGACCTAAGTATTTTGAAGCAGTCCTATTCACACACTTGATGCGTACCTTCCTGATTTATAGTGTTTGCCGTCTGTTAACTGATTCAGTTTGTTAATCGTTATAATTCGGTAAGATATTTTTCTTAAAACCGAATAAAAGTTGTAATTTTCTAGAATGGACATTGTGAACCCCTTTTAAATGCTGTGGCTGTTTTTTTCAACATTTAGAGTAGTTAAAAAGCTCATCAACTCGTCGTACACTGCCCTAGCAGTATAAATTGTGATAAGAATATTTTTCACATTCTCTAGTAGTAGGTAGTATTTCAAGAGTATCCAACAAGTAAATTAACTGCTTAATTATACATTCTTAAGAGATCATCCATGATTTAAGTTATGCATATTGACCAATTTTGGTTTAACTTTGAACAGACCACTAAATTATTTAGTGTTTGCCGTCTGTTAACTGATTCAGTTTGTTAATCGTTATAATTCGGTAAGATATTTTTTTTAAAACAGAATAAAAGTTGTAATTTTCTAGAATGGACATTGTGAACCCCTTTTAAATGCTGTGGCTTTTTTTTTTTCAACATTTAGAGTAGTTAAAAAGCTCATCAACTCGTCGTACACTGCCCTAGCAGTATAAAATGTGATAAGAATATTTTTCACATTCTCTTGTAGTAGTATTTCAAGAGTATCCAACAAGTAAATTAACTGCTTAATTATACATTCTTAAGAGATCACCCATGATTTAAGTTATGCATATTGACCAATTTTGGTTTAACTTTGAACCGACCACTAAATTATTTTTGGTCAAAAAGTGAATAAAATGTTAAAAGCGTTATAATTATAATATGTTATATTTGTGTTTGAATTTTAGCTGGTATGCAGGATGACAAAACATCTCCTGAACCACCAGTGGAAAGTAATACGGCAGTTTTAAAGAACACCATATCGATTAAACATTTCGTACCGAAAGTTGGATTATTGCATCACAGGGAATCTCTGCAACTGATACTATGTAAACCCAAATTAATGCCATTGAAATCTATGACATTGGAAAAATTACAAAAGATGCAATCCGAAGCAGAAAACAAATTGTCAAATAGATGATTAAATAAGCTTCAAAATGACTGTGGGAATATTTAGTGCTGAAGTTATATTTGCTTTTATTTTAACTACGGTGCTACTTAACCGTTATGGCAATTGGAAAACTCAAAATATTGTTGTTACAACTGCCGTGCTCATTGCTTGGTATTTTTCTCTTTTAATCATCTTCGTTCTTCCCATTGATATATCTTTGGTAAGTTCTTAGATTATTATGAACATAATATTTCAATGTTTACTTACATTAAAATAAAAAAAAATATTCATTCAATTTTGATATCTATAACTTAATGAAAATATTAATCTGATTGAATGATATATTTGTATACAGTATTTATATAGGTAGTTGACATTAACATATTTAATACATAATTATTATTTTGAATTCCAGGCAGCTTATCGTAAATGTGTTCAAGATGGGCATAACCATAACGATAATACTACAAATTCTAGTCATGAATTATCAGCCTGTAATAAACCGTGGAGTTATGTGCCAGAATCTACTCTACCAAAGATGTGGAGAGTTGTTTATTGGACTTCCCAATTTCTAACATGGTATGTAGTCGTGTAGCATATAAGCTACAGTGAATTCTTGATAGGTATGCTGAACGTTTAATAATTTAAAATCTTTGATACTTTCTTATTTTACTAAAAAAAAATTGCTTGATACTAATTAAAAATATACATTGTGAAATGTTATTATTGCCATTAAACCCTTAATAGTAAAATATATATTTTTGAAAATAATTAAAAGTATTAATATAATCAAACCAATTAATTTCAACTGGAAAAATAACATATTTGACGTTATTAATAATAATAATTATTATTATCATTTTTATTAATAAAACAATGTAAGGTATTAGTAAGAGTTTGAGAGAATTTGTACATAATATTTATTATTATTACATAGTCAGTATAGCAATATTAATCCAAGCAATTTTTGTTTTTAGCTATTTTTTTTAAATTAGGTAAACTTCACCTATTACAAAAAATATTATTGAAGCATGAAACTTCTGCTGTACACTGAGTTTTTATAGTATTTAAATTATTTGAAAAAATTGTATTACTGATAAAGCTTACACAGGATACTGGAATTACCTCATTAATCAGTTATGTAAAAAGTTAGTCAATTCAAATGGATTGACTACATAAAACATTTTAAGAGCAGTTTTGCTAAACCTAGTTTTTTAGTGTTAGATACAAATAATAGTTGATCTTTCACCGATTTCCTCTAAATAGTTACAACAAGATTTAAAAATGATTAGTATTACTCCAAACCACTTCAAAGTCTCTTGAATTCTATTGAACTCTCTTTTACTAAGACTGATTTCACTGTGATTCTATTTTTACTTTTTATAATTTATTTTATATACTTAATGTTTGGTTTATATAATATTATGCTTGCAATATGTTAAATGTATAATATGTATAGTTAATAGTTATTTAAATTTGAATATGTTTAGGTTTATTATGCCAGTTATGCAATACTATGTGAAGTCTGGAGAATTTACATTGAAGGACAAATTAAAAAATGCTATTAAAAGCAATACACTCTACTATAGTACATTATTATTAATTGTTACAATACTTATAGTTTACATTGCTCTTAAGCCAGGAGTGCATTTAGATTGGTAAGTATATAATCTTTTTACAAATGTTAGATAATACGGAACAATAAATAATAACAGTGTTATGTAAATTACAAAAGTAATAACTATTAAAATAATTACTAATTTTTATATTTATAATACAACTTATTTATAAGGTTATGAAAATATTTTAATTTAAAATTATCAATAATTTATGTTTATTTTAATACAATTATTGTTTAAATTATAAATAATTAATAATAAATTATTTAAAAAAAATAAGTTTTTTGCATATTATTTGTCTTACAAATATTAATATTAATTTCATTGGAATTTTTTGAACTTAACTTAAACATGAATAAAAGTAACTTACACACTGTTAAACTTTAGCTATTTCAACATTTTAGAAAATATTTTTTGTTATTTATATTAAAATATTATCATTTTTATTTCTTTTAGGCAAAAATTAAAAGCAATCGCATCATCTGCTAGCAATACATGGGGATTGTTTCTATTAATATTGTTGCTAGGTATTGCATTAGTGGACATTCCAAGAGAATTATGGCGGTCTAGTCAAATTGATTATACACTGAGAAAAGTATACTTCAAACTGTCGAAGCTCAATACAGAAAAGTTAGAATCCGAAGGAGCTTTAGAAGATGTTCTTGAAGTACTTATTATCTATATTTTATATAAAATACAAAAAACAAACTAAAATTTGTAATTCTTAAATTAGTCAATTAAAAGTGTTAGTATCAGTATGAGTCCAAATGATCCGTTGTATGATTGTTTTCAAATAATTTTGAAAAAAGTTCCCGAGGATCAACGAGATTTTTTGAAAAATGTGCGGTCTAATTCAAGGAATCATACAACACCTTCGATTGGCATGCTAACTCGACTTCATAAACAAGTAATACAAGAATGAAATATATTATAAATTTATAAATAATGATAATAAAGAGCTTAATACAAGTTAAGTTTTGTGAGAATTAATAGCCTAATGTTTTGATCGAATGATGTACACAATGCTAGACCTAATTTGCTGGGACACCATCGAAAATTATTGATTGGTTGTGTTGATATTAACTGATTTTGAATCAATTGTAATTTTCCTGGATTTGTTATCTTGTCACCATCAGATTCAATTTTATATCTGTCTTCAGGATACATATATTTCCACAAGTATATTGAACCGTTTCCTCCAGTAGTGGTAAAAATTTCTCGATGTTGTGGTAGATGTCTGACAGTCCAAATGGTATGTTTGTGTACATTATTTTTTATGTAACCAAAACCTTTTGTGGGATGTTGAACTTTTATATCGAATACATAAAAATTTGATTCAATTGTTGTGGCTATAAGTTTATTCATTTTAATGTCTCTTCTGTCAAATTCTAAACTGCAAACTCCATTTGATACATTGGTTTCCCAGCGTAATGCCATTGCTCTTAAGTCTAACATTTTTATGTCGCCATTATCATAACCAGCACAAACAATTCGTTCTTCTGAATTGTAAGCATTTCCAAATGCTACTGTCCAACAATCTCGCTTTGTAGCACCGATAGCAGTTTCCATTTTTGCAACTGGTAGTTTTTCTCTTGGATCCCATATTTTCACTGAACCATCCTTCCCACCTTAAACAGTTATTTTCATTAATCAGCAAAAATACAGTTTAAGTTAATAATAAACAATATGTATAATACGAGTATTATAATACCTGTCACTAATTCAGGTGCTCCGCATCCAATTCCAAGTCCACCAACACCATCAATACAATATATAAGGCCTTGGTGAGCTTTTACAGAATAGAGTGACTTAGCTGAATACTCCAAGTCCACAATCTCTAAGTCACCTTCATAGTTTCCAACTGCCAAGTGCCTTTTATTGCTAGAACTCGATTGAAAAGTAGCACATTCAATGGCAACTGATTTCTCATACTCTTGAACAGTTTGAATGTCATTATCATCCAATGCATAAATATTTATAACACCTTTCAAGTTTGGTTTGCCACCAACAGCTGTGAACTTGGCTGAGTTGTGAATCCATTGACAGTCTTTCAACTGATAATTAACAGATTTCTCCCTGTGAATAATAATCTGTGACTTGCTTAGTTTACTCATTTTTCTAACTTATGATTACAATTGAGTAAATACTTCAAGAAGAAATTATAATGTGTGATATATTATAAATATTGTTGCTATGGTTACTTATGAATTGTATGAGACATCAATGAAGCACCTTGAATAATGTAGTACAATTGCCGGAGATATCAGATTTATGTATCTATTTTGTTATCACTTTATCAGTCTTAAATTAAATACACTTGTATGAAAAAAAGTTTTTGTTATATAATTAAATAGTTACATTATAGAATTCTTTTTTTCTTGTATTAGTTTTCAACCAAAAGTTATTATAGCTCAACAATTAATTCAATGTATATAAAATAGAGATATAATTATTGATCTTATATTAATATATATTGTTGTAGTTGATTGTTGCTGTGCATATGTATCATCGTACTGAGACACAGGGCAGCTTAATGCTCGAAAAAGCTATTTTCTTAGAAGACATTAATTCAAACATGACATCTAGAGAACGAAAGTTCAAAAAAATGTTCAATAAACCTTCAAAATTGAATAGTTATGCAGATACATCAACAATTGGTGTGTTTAAATTTGTTAATTATTATTTTTTTTCTCATATTTAAATTTATTTTTAAATTTATCTATGAATTATAATTTTTTTATACCAAAAGCAATTTCAAGCTATGGGTAACTTATTATTATAATCAAATCCATATTTAGTTATGTCTATTTTATACATAATATTAAATTTGTTATTTTTTAGAGTGGTATTGGTGGTGTCGTTTACACCCTATGATGCTTCAAGTTTTATCTGTGATTACTGGCATTCTATCAGTTGTAATTGTGTGGTCTGAAATGACATTTTTCAAAAAACAACCAGTGCTCTCTATTTTTGCTCTCATGGTCAATATGGCAAAACAAAACAATGATTATGTTATGATACAGGTAAAGTAATAAATAACTTTCATTTAAAATTGTGTGTAAATGTTGATTTTTAATTTCCACCAAATTGTTATTACCAGGTGTTATCTACATTGTCCATTGCTTATTTGGCATATTGTACATATTCAACAATATTTAAGATAAAATTGCTTAACATATACTACCTAGCACCAAACCATCAAACCACTGAAAGCAGCCTAATTTTTTTTGGATTGTAAGTATTATTTTCCTAGTTGAATTTATTTGAATTGTAATCATTAAATATTACCATTATAGGTTATTGAGTCGTTTAACATCACCAATGTGTTTAAATTTCCTTGGACTTATTCACATGGATAGTCATGTGATAAAGAGTCGTATTCTGGAAACTGATTATACTCAGGTAGAAATTTGTTATTTCATTTGGATATAAACTAAAATAGTAAAAATTAATTTAAAAATCTGAAAACAGATTTGAATTTGTCGTCAAGTCTACTTGAAATCGACTTGACGACAAATTTTAGAATAGTTTTTAGAATTCTTATCGCTTCATTACATCAATTGGTATGTTTGGCAAAGAACCAGTCGAAAATCCGGTCGTGCGTGTGTTAGACAAAAACGGAAAATCACGGTATCGAATCCCCTTAACATGTTGATTGCTATGTGACCGCCACTGATCACTGAAATATGTTTTATCGGTACGTCAACCATATTTTTGAGTGTCATAAAAAAATTAGTGTGTACTATTGTACTTGAAAAACATTAAATATTATATTATATAAAAAAAGTTATTACTGCTACCCCGATCAACTATGGCCACTGGTCGTTAAAAATGTATACAATTTAAGAATTACAGATGACTGCCAGCGGTCACGTCATGACAGTCAACATGTTTAAATAATGAAAAATTCCTTTCTTCAGACTATTAATACTTAAATTTTTTTTTACTTATAACCAAGAAATATGCTTACCTATTTTGTTTTTGCTCTTATTAGTTTATGTCACTTAGGTTCATATGCTCACAGTTTTTCGTTCGCTTTTTTGACTGGATACCAATAATTCAGGGACGGATTGGGCCGGCGAGACACCGGTCCTCCTGTAGTGTATTTGTTTTTTTAAAATAACCGATTTTAATTATATATTAACCATATGTAGACTGTATTTTATTAATATAAAATATTGGAAATTTGTCAATTGTAACTTGTAAACATGGGAATAGTTTGATTCACGGCTATAGTCTACAATGTACAAATAATACCATCTTTAATTGTGGTTTGACTATACAGTATATTCGGAATATGGTTTGACTACAGATTAGTATTCCGTAAGATAACATGATGTGATTACTGATAGTGCTTATTTATCTTGTAGACCATGTACTGTGTAGTCTAATACTCTAATATACTTTTTTTATTATAAATATGAGTGTTTCAAAACAATCAAAACCTTGTCTAAAGCTTAAAAAGCACCAGCCAAAAATAAAAAACTTCTTTTAGAATCCATAATATCAATACAGATGACATAATTAATGAAGTAGCTAGTACCTTCATTTTGGCCGACTTAGGTACAGATTTCCCGGGCCGAATTTATATCCCAATCCGTCCCTGCAATAATTTGAAACTTTTTTTTTTAACTTGAGTTAATTTGATTTTAGATAATGGGTCATATGGATGTTATTACAATAATCAGTGATGGTTTCAATGTATACTTTCCAACCCTCATACTTGCTGTATGTTTAGCAACTTATTTTAATGTTGGAACAAGAATATTGTCCATTTTAGGATTTCCTCAGTTTTTAGAAGATGATGATTTGGTTACCGATTACATTCAAGAAGGGCGTTTGTTAGTGGTTCGAGGTAGATTGTATAATGTCGTACTGAAAGCTATTAGTTCATACTCTAACCATTTGTTTTGAATTCAGAAAAAGAAAGGCGTGAACGTAAAATACGAGGTAACGAAATGCGTCGTAAATATAGAGAAAGGTCTCTACCAAATGCAAATGAGGAGGTCGAAGAAAGTATGTATAACATAATATATAACATAAAATGTAAATTGTAAAATGTTAATGATCAATAATAAATTTTAAGGAGTTCCACCATCTCGGAAAGACAACATGAAATCATACTTGTTGGATAATGCTGATCCCATTGATCGATCCTATCATAGCTACAGTACAAATGATACTCATGAAGTAGAAAGACAGTTGCCCAATGTGAGTACAAGGCCTAACAGTACGTGGGAGCCACCAAGGAATATATTTAGTGATTTATAATTTTACGTGAAAAAAATTTATTATAATCATATGTTTGTATGAAATGCATTGCCATAAATATTTTCTGTATGTTGAATTCTCTGTACTGTAAATATGGAACACACTAAGGTCTAAGGACCCATAAACTTGTCCTACTATTGATTTCGTTTTCATTATTCTGTAAAAATAAAACATAGATTCATTCTTACTAAGAATTTTATTTTTGTTGATATGATTTCAATGAAAATGTATCTAATAATGGAATCTAATAAAGACAGCCTCCATTAAGGGTACATTTTTCAATGCATAAGTTATATTATATAACGCGTGTTCCATATTTTACAGTTCAGTGGTTGGATTTGGATGCGTTAAGATTCAAATAATTTCTATTTTAAATGTATTGTTATTTTTCTTCTGATTACAATTTGTAAACAATTTTAATACTTACTACATATATTATACTATTATATGAAAATATCTGTTTTTAATAAAATATATTAGATTAAAAAGAATATTGTATTTTGATGGTGACTTAAGGTTTTGAGGAATCTAGATATAGGTAAGGTATATTTTTAATTAAAAATGGTTTTTAAATTATGTTTATGATTTAAGACATTTTTCTTTTATTGGAAATTAAAATAATAATACTTAATAGGAGGTATTGTATACAAAAACTACACTAAGCCACACATGAGGCAAACTGTCTAATTGAAATAGAAAATGTGTAAATCTATATTTTAAAATAATATGTAAATCAGTTAGTAAATGATTTGCTAAGTATACAAATATATCAAGATTTTAATATTATTGTGAGGTTCTGTTGAGATAATCTAAGCACACACTCAACATTTGTTATAATTAATTTGGTACATTTCTTCACTGCGGTTCAATATGCACCTATAACACGAATACATGTTATTGTATAAAATTCTTACAAATTATTAATGACAATGCTCTACCAACAAATTTGAAAATTCTAATGCACATACATAAGTTATAAACGAATATTAGTAATGGCTGTTGATATTTTAAGAACCATAGTGAGAACGGAATATAACAAACTAAAACATTCACTCTCAAATTGTTGTAGTCCCCGGGTTTGTTTAAGGATATTGTGTAGACTAAATAAATTCTGAAACGGTATAACCTGCAGTGGGCAATGTGCTTACATCCAAACGTTAAACTTCTACCAAAACTGGTTTATGTGATCGCGAATGATTCCTTTTACAATCCTAAATTATGCTTGTCGATGCTTTTTTTTTTATTATTATTAAAAATAAGTGGCTTTGACTGCATTGGTAACTAAGGCTCAGGCAAACACAAAACGGTCTGTCCGCCACGAGCTCCTGTACACCATGGCAGACTGCTTTCCGTTTGACCGAGCCTTTAGTGTGGGTATGTACATATGGGTTATTAGTACATTATTCAATATAGTTTTTGTGAAAATTTTATATTATCAAATATCGACTAACAATGAAAATTATCTGAAATTAATAAAATACCCTACACACGGATTTGTTGTTGCTCAGCAGTTCAAATTTAGGTACTGCATTAGTTTAAAAAATAGAATGAAACTTGGTGGTAAGAACATTATGATATGTGTTTGTTTGAGGAGTTTTTATTATAATTCAGTTTTTAAGTGAGTTACCTAATGTCTTTTTTTTGCACTTTTTATTATATACTCAATATTTGAAAGAAATTGAACTAACATATAAAAAACCCACATATAAACGCAGGTTTATTATTTGTTTATTATTTACAAACTACTACTTGATAACTCTCAAGAGTTAAGGCGTCTCAAACGTCGAAGACCGGGGCCTCTCCACTGGGAGTGATAATCCAAACATGATTTTGTATATAGTTACCAAAATATTTATTTATTAATATTTTACACATTTGAAATGTATTTTTAAAGATCATTGATCGTTATAATAAAAAGGTTTCAAGTGGTTTGTATAAAAAAAAAAATTGTCTAAAGGTAACAGCTAGTTTGAGTGAACATTTTCTACGGAGTGTATAGATTTATCATAATATATAACTGTACAAATAATACATTCATAATAATTGTATTTAATTATTATTTGTACAGGTCGGACATAGGTATCAAATCGAAATCGCCATTTTTTCGAATATTTGCCATATATTTTTCTCCTACTGAATCAAACCAGTTGCCATTAAAAGAAAGATGTACACTGAACATTTTGAGGGGATCAAAAAGGATGGCGAAAAGGACGAATTGGAAACAAAATAGTGAAGTTAATTATATTAATAACAATTTTCGATGACTATACAACATTAAAAAATATATATTTCAACAAATAAGTACTTATTTTCAGACTGGTATTTTTCCAAACGTTTATGTACAAGAACACTCCAGTGTTTTTTTAAAAATATTCAATTTGATTATCATATGTTTTAGTTGAAACCCGTGCTTTGATTCTTTTACAACCAGTGTTAGAAAATAACTTTTCAGGCTCGGGATCAACTATCTGTAATATTTGACTGAAAAAAAAATGAATAATATATTATGCATATTTTACAAATAATCAATGCCATAAATGGTTATTTATTTTTATCTGTAATAAGTCTCAAAAGTGTACCATAATACATTTTAATAATTTCACATAAATTAAATCAGCTGAAAATGTATTGATACCTATTTAAGTTTATGAAGATAGTGAACAATATTTTATTTTATGCGATACCTATTAAGGAATATTATTTTTTTTGTATATAATTATTAGATATAGATGAAATATGTGTAAATGTATAATATTTTATTAAAGTATCTACATGCATTTCAATTTTCAAGTAAATTTAATATTTTAAAGTATTAATAAATTAGTTTGAATTCAATAAAGAAAACGGCCCTTAGTATCATAATGTATTAAAAACCTATAAACAAATTAATGATGGATTAATTATAATTTGTCATCACTGATTTACGTACAGAGTGTTTCTGAAATGGATGAGATTACTATGATGATATACCTATGCGTACTCACTACTCACTGTGATGGTCCAATAAATATTTTTTGAAATTTTTTCAAAGATCTTCAAAATCTAGGTTTATTCGTATCATTTTTAGAACATTATCTTAAATGTAAAAACAAATACTCTAGTTGTATTTTTTATAAGATTATCATAAGAATTGAGGCGTCACATTGTTTTTCACGCTTTTTTCACGCTCGAACGCCCTTTAAAAAAAAAGTGGTGGGCACATCGATGTAAGTATGTGAAAACATCTGAACACTAAAAGACGCATTGGTGATATTTATTTGTTGTTACTTAACATTTTACATGATTAATTAACAAATTGTTTTACATTGTCAACTAATAAACATGATGAAATTCATTAGATATTATTATTTGTCATTCAAGATTAGGGTTAAGAGGACGCTACACCCGCATGTGTTGTCTCCGTCTTACAAACGCGTAACATAGCAAATTACGTCCACGGAAAACAAACGAATCGGCATCAAAAAGTGGTTTTAGAGTAAAAATACCTATAATAAAACTTAAAGAGAACAATATTTTGGAGGGAACCTCATCGGCGTTTTTAAAAATATTAACTATTAAAAAAGTTGTGGTTATTTAAAAAAATGAGTTTTTGTGCCTTCAATATCTAGCTGTGTATTTAGATTAATACAAAACCCCGATGAGGTTCCCTCCGAAATATTGTTCTCTTTAAGTTTTATTATAGGTATTTTTACTCTAAAACCACTTTTTGATGCCGATTCGTTTGTTTTCCGTGGACGTAATTTGCTATGTTACGCGTTTGTAAGACGGAGACAACACATGCGGGTGTGGCGTCCTCTTAACAATGTTTTGAATTATATTTTAAGTTACGTGTAATACGTGTTAAGCCGGTAATAAAATATGGTAAATTTATCCGTACCTATTGTCATAAGTTAGATATAAAAAGAACTAACTATTTGTGTATTTATAGTGAAATTCTATGTTTTGAATATCACAGTGACATAAATAACTATTTTGTCTTGACAAGATAAACATTGATAAAATCACAATAAATCAAAATGTTTTCAAACATATTTAAAAATATTTTGCTTACTGAATTTTGTCAAAATATTAACTTCAGGCGCTCATAAAAAATATTGTAGATTTACCCTCAACTTTTTTTGATTGCCATTAACAACAACTTCTGAGGAATGATGTATTACATTTTAAAGTTTTTTGACAGATAATTATTAAAAAAAAATCTAATAGAACTAGAAATTGTCTTATGCCTATAAATATTTCAACTATACTCTGTCCGACCAAAACTGGTTCCTTTAAGCAACAACCTCCCAAAGTACCAACTAGATATTATTCTACCAGAAAATATGGTTTTTAATAAAATTGTATCGCAAAAAAAAAAAAAACAAAAAAATAAAAAACACATCATGGTAAAATCAACACATTCATCGCTCCGCTCAGAATCCAAAACAATTTAGTTAACTTTTATTAAGTAATTACTATTGTAAACAATGATAAACTCAAGTTTCACCTTCTTCATTGAAGGCAGAATTTAGTAAAATATTATCAAAATCTTCAACATTCATATTCTTTTTAGAAATTCCGTTAGCCGCAATATATAAAGACTTTTGTATAATATAATCACTACCTGCATTAGTTAAAAATTTAAAAAATTAAATTCCTATTATATTAATAAAACAATTATTATTATTATGGTTTTTTTAAAATGTGAAATCAATCATTGAACTTTAATGCTCATGTATTAATATATTTATGCAGTCTAATAAAATTATATTGCCATTTTTGCTCAAAAAAAGTACCTTTCATATGAATAATGATCTTCTTTTGGATTCAACATTGATAGCGATAAGAACTTCATGGCACAATTTTCATTTTTGAAATGTATTCAATAACTAAACAATAGCATCAGACCCTATAAAAAAAATAACTAATAAATTACCTAGAATCGATGGACATCATTGTTTTTACAAATAGGTGCTAGTATGTCGCATATATCCATGGGTATAATATAATGGATTTCATCAAAAACAAATGAATTTGTATCACATGATTTTATTGCAGATTTCACATCAGAATAAAGTTTTTCCTGAAATATTACATTGAACATTTGAGTATTTAATAAGAGTAAAACAATTAAATTTCATCAAAATTTAAACTTTCGACGTTCATTATTACTGAAAATATCTAACACTTGACCTCATAACTTTTTAAATTACTGTAAGAACAACTTATGAGAAAGTTGATTAATTTTTCCACCTTTTGGACATGGGAAAAAAATGTAGTAAAAAAAAAAACTAAAAATATAAAATTGAAATATTTTTGAATAGCTCAACTATAATATTTTGAAAATTATAATATGTCTAGTAAAATTAAAATTATTTTGTCAAAAATGTATGAATTAGATCAAATTTACTAATTCATTACCTACTTAATTTTTACTCCTTAATGTGACATCCAATAATAAAAAAAATACAATATTAAAATACATTCATTGCTACACTCGGAAGATAAAAGGAATAAATCATAATAATGTATAACTGTATAAGACAATACAAATGTAACTAAAATTCAAAATCTCTCATAAATATTCAAAAGTAAAAAATTCAAAAATAATATTAAATTATAGTTAGAAAATCAAATAATATTTAAATTGTGTACAGAAATAAAGATTACTATTCAAAATTTTGAGATGGGATCATGATAATTAAAACAAATTATCATTGATTATAAATAGCAGTATATACAGGATGATTTTTTTAAGCATTCTAATCCTCATTTCCCCCTTTTATAGTACATTTATTAAAATTAAAATTTTTAGAATTTTCAAATATACCTAAATACCATATTTTCAAATTTCTAATATGTTTTGTAATATCTACAATATGTATAGATACAAATGTATAAAGTTAACATTAACTACTAGTAAGTTAATTATACTTCATAAATTAATTTTGTATTTTGTCGTTGACACGATTTTGAGGTATTGTTATACATGGATTCAGAAAGAATTTAGCTATTTATGGATAAAATCTCCAATGTGGTATCTGGAACGTAGAATTAATGAAAAATAATAAATAAATTCAACAAAGTATTCTCCTATGTGTTACCTACAATAACTTAGTATAAATAGTTTATGAAATAAATCCTATTTGATTTTTTAATTTAAAACATTTTCTTTATATCCTGAAAAACTGTGTTTTTGCACATGGGAGGTTTTTCTTGTCAACAATGATTTTAAAGCAAAAAAAAAAAAAAATAGGTAGGTATATCAATTTTAATTGGTAGTAGGACATCATAAGAAAACAAATAAATTAAATGTAAATAATGTATGTTATGCTTGGAAAATAGAGACAAATGCACTTATAAATTGATTGAATTGTAACTATAATTTTAAGTTACAGCTAACCATGAACTAAAACAGCAGTATGCAGTGGTTTTTTCCTTCTATCATTAAATAAGCTTAAAAAAATGTATGAATACCTATATAGGTACTATAATGTTTATTAATCGCAGTGTCTAGAGCACTGGGCACCCGGTCACATTGTAGAGCACTGGGTGCCCGAATAGATAATAGAACACCAGGTCACATTGTAAATATAAAAATATATATAATCGATATGATATCATTAGGTCTATCCTTATAATTTTAATAATATAATAAATCACAGATATTAATCGGCTGTACAAGTACCGATAGTCACATAATAATATATAGTAAGTTTTTAGTTATTGCTTATTAGTTAATACATACAGAATGGTAATTTTTTTTTTTAACATTTTATTTGGTCTTCTTATATCCTTATAATTTTAATAATATAATTAATCACAGATATTAATCAGCTGTACGAATAACAGATTGTCACATTATAAAAATATAGTTATTAGTTAGGTAATACATACAAAATAATTATATTTAAAACAAAATCTTATGGTTTATCCTCTTTTTCTTTATTGTATAATTCAAGTTCCTTGAGAATTTTTTTCATAAACAGTTTAAGTATTTTAATAAAATATTTATTTCTCGGTTAAATTACCTTGACTGTTACAAATTTTCGAGGCGGCATGTATATTTTCATGACACCAATGACATCTGCATTATTAGCTGCACCTTTGAAGTGTTGTTACTTGTTAGTATCAAATCGACACATATTAGATTATAATATTTGTTTTGTTTTCCATTAGGTTTGGAAAATAATTACCTTGACTTCTACATCTACTCAACCACATCCATAACTTCATCATATGTACCTATATAGTAATTTAGTATCTAATTATCAAATTTTATGAACATTATTAATATTGAATTACCTTCCATTATGCCATTAAAATTATCCAAATATAAATCACATTGATCATCGACGGCATCCACAACATCATTATTTTTACAGCATTCTTCTTCGACCACATCCATAACTTCATCATTTGCACCTATATAGTAATTTAGTCTCTAATTATCAAATATTTTGAACATTATTAATGTTGAATTACCATCTATTAGGCCATTACAATTATCTAAAGATTATCACATAGATCAAATAACGTTGCATAATTACCTAATATATGTAATGATAATTCTTGCCCTTTTAACCAAGTGTTAAAAACAAATTCCAACTGTTCAATTTTTCGGTGGTAGTGAACATTTGATGATTTTGAAACAAGGTCAGCAATTTTTGCTCCTATTATCGATGCCTTACGAAATTTCTCATGAGTTGTGGGAATTTTCTTTCTTTCGTACAAAGTTGTCATTGTAGTATTGTCATTGTCAGTGTTTATGACCTCAACATTCTTGAAAACCCTCTGGTTTTGGTAATAAAAGTTCCTAGTCCACCTTTCATCACATAAACTATTATCATATAAAGATAGAGACTGTTTTTTCCTTAAACTGAATATATGACAACACGGTAATCTCATAGAGTTATAAAAAAGACAACTACAATTATTTTCTGTTGTTTTCTCAAGAACATAATTTTCAGCTGCACATTCAAATTGTGTTTTTAGAGAATTGAATGCATACGGTGTTAATAAACTATAAAACAGTTGTAGCTCTGGAATTGAATTTTTTTGAGTTGGTCGTTTTTGAACCAATTTTATAGCATTTTTGTCCCTTTCCAATCGTACACAGTCCAAAACAATGAAAAGTTTTTCTACAAAGTCGTCTAGCGTTGAAAAATTAGTTATTACAGATTTCAATTTACTGTTAAAACTCTCAAACCTTTTATTGGTTTTATTCATAAAATTCACAGTATTAAATGTCATACCCATAACCCATTCATTGCGTATATCGTGCCAATTCTTATTATAATATTCCATTATAGATTCAGGTGCCATAGCTTGAAGATGGTGATATACAGAATCATACTCTAATTGTGTCTTACAGCATGTTAAATTTTGAAAAATTTGTTTGATATCATCTATTTGTTTCGGTGTTATATTTTGTTTTTCACATGTAATTTCTCGATTAAATGTGCGTAATGTATGAAATAAACATATTATTAGTGCAGCATTGGGAAATACTGACTTGATAACATTTCTTTCCTTCATGTCTTTATCGGTAACGTAAGTACGAGTTTTAATTGAAGCTGGATTGTTTTTTTTAAATGTTTCAAAGAACCAGCGCAAGGTGATTTCTTCTTCGTTTACTAATAAACCAATTGCCGCTATTTCACTTTGCCCATTACCATCCTCAGTCATCAGGACATAAACTGGAAGCCTTAAATCTAGCAGTTTATATGTGGAATCTGCAAATACTACCTAAAAAAAAGTAACAAAATTAGTATTATAAATTGTGACTATTACATATGATATATTACTTCTGGAAATGAACTGAAAGACTGTGCCATAACTTTGTCTTGTATAAAAATACCATTCAAATTGTTTGTTTCATCTGTTGATATTTCTACTATACAGTTAAATTGTTCCTTTAATTTATTAACAACTTCAGCTAAGTCATCCTTTGAATAATGATTTCCTAAAAAATACACAATAGTAAAAGCAATCAATACAATTATTGTTATTCTTACCTGCTGTTGTACGAGTATTGGACAAATCCTTTAGAGTAATTACTTTACCACTTTGTTTCATAGTTTTGTTCTGAATCTTTTTTTTGTTTGCCTTAAGGTCCATAAGTTTTAATACTATTGCCTTAGTTTCTGGTGTAGTTTTCCTTTGGTTTGGAAGATGACTATATAAAGTTCTTGACATTTCATGATTATGATTTTCGTTAATTTTTGTAATTTCTAATAATTTCCCATTTTCAGTTGCTTTTAAATAAATACTAGCTTCACAGCCTTGGCGCATTGTACTTAAATCATATAAATATTCATTTTTAAAAACCAAATATGTATGTGTTTGACTTAGCTAGGTATGTATTATATATATGTACTTACGATGTCACACGTTGATCAAGACTAATTTTTTTTTTTTTGTATGTTCCACCACAATAAAATTTAATATAATAATATTTTAATTCTTTTGGTGCTGTACTCATTCTGCCATTGGGGTATTTGACATTAATTGAAGCAAGTGTTTTACAATCTTTTATAAAATAGTCTACAAAGTTAGTATCTTTGTAGACCGCGAAACAACTTTCAAACGCTTCGAATGAGCTAAATGTATCTCCCAGCTTCATTGTTAGAATATTATTATATGATTATTTGACTTAAGATTTTAAAACATAATATAAAACACATCTCAGACGATGAAGTGACGACACTACGACACAGGATATTACGATTAGATGTACTAAAATGATTTAATTAAATTAATTTTAAGATAAATTGTATTGGTTCCCTACAGTGTGACCGGGCGCCCGGTGATATACAGTGTTACCGGGCGCCCGGACACGGCGTTTATTAAGAAAGTGTCAGCCCACCATTCGTTTGCTCTCTCTGGCCCTCGCTCAACATAGACCAAACGCATTTACTCAAAATCATTTTTTCTATGCGTTTAAGTAATCTTAGAGTAAAGTTACAAAAAAAAGATAGAGAATAATATTTTTGAGGGTATGACATAATATCGATTTTATATTTTATTATTATTTGACTTTGTATTCTACTAAAATGTTGTAAATTTAAATGATGTTCAAATTGTTTTGAGACAATATTATTTGGACATATCGATATGTCATTCCCTCGAAAATATTATTCTCTATCTTTTTTGTAATGGGTAACTTTACTCTAAGATTACTCAAACATATGGAAAAAATGTATTTTGGTAAATGCGTTTTGTCTATGTCGCGCGTGGGCCAGAGAGGGAAAACGAATAGTACCTACTCTGACACTATTGAATGGAAGCAGGGGCGGATCCAAGGGGGGGGGCAAGGGGCCATGCCCCCCACGTAGACTGTTGGATTTTCTATTATATCTATTTTCGGCAGCCGATAAAATGTATTGTTTTGCCGATAGCGTTTCGGCCGTGTTCGTTTTTACCGGTCGCCGTCAAAAAGCTAATCTAATCTAATCTAATCGAATATTTGTTTGATGCAATAAAATGTTAAAATATTATTAATTATTATTTATTATATTATATTACGTACAGTGGCGTATATACGAATTATTTTCACTATGGGCCAATTTATCAGTTATCACTAGTCAAGAATAGCACGACTAACATAGCCATAACTTTACATTTTTTAGGGAGCTGGGTTATAACTATGACATATACAGTACAAATAAAAATTACACAATTTAATTATTATGTAAAATTAATTTTTTGATTCTTTTTAAAAAAATATTGAAAGTGTCATTTATATATTTTAATGTCATCTTACTATGAATTTATAACATCAAAGTCAATATTATAAGTCATCAAAGCAAGTCCTGACCATCTAAAATTTCCTTGTTGATTCTTCAAAAACGATTTTAATCAACCGGCTAACTTAATCATGGTGAAAAACTGTAAACAGTGTAGATATACATGCAATGCTTTAATTGAACCTGCAATTTCACTATGGGCTCTGGCCTAGGGGGCCTCCCCCCTATATACGCCACTGATTACGTACCATTACTAATTAAACCATTTATATTACTTATCTAATTATTTAAAAGACGAAAGGATTTTGTTCTGTGATCATTTTTTAATATTTGTTATATTTTATTATTAATTATTATTTATTATATATGTATTACGTATCATTATTAATTAAACCATTTATATTAGTTATCAAATTATTTTATATATTTTATTGTACTGATAAACTGGGTTTAAATAATAATATTTGCCAATTAGCTTACATAGTATGTACAATGTTTTTATCAGACTAATTAGGCAGAAATTTTATTTAAGATGCCCCCCCCCCCGTAAATATGCTCTAGATCTGCGCCTGAATTTTCTGTCTTTGTCTAACACACGTGCAACATAAGATTATAGACTTGTTCCATTTCCAACGTACCGATTAATCTAGTGAAGCGATAAGAATTCTGAAAACAGATTTGAATTTGTCGTCAAGTCTTCTTGAGTTCGACTTTCCCACATTTTTGATTTAAACTTCTCCACAAATTGAATTAGGTATGTCAATTTTTTAATTATTGTTTTTAATATATCGTTTTTATGATTTTGGGGGATAATATCAAAAAGTGGGAGAGTCGATCTCAAGTAGACTTGACGACAAATTCAAATCTGTTTTCAGAATTCTTATATCGCTTCACTAGATTACACGGTAAGTTGGAAATAGAACACGTCCATAGTCCTATGTTGCACGTGTGTTAGACAAAGACAGAAAATCGCAGCTTCCAATCCCCATAATTAATTTTAACCATAGAGACATAGAGTATACTCTATATGATTTTAACTGACCTTACCTTTAAATTTTTATATCAAATGTTTTAGGACTTTCATCAAAAAAAATGGTTGTATCTTGAATATCCATTGACAGTTTAAGATATAAAAAAAATAAGCCACTTGTAACACATTGCAAAAAATATTTTCCACACACCATGGTGTATTGGTGCACCAATTTTTATTTTAAATTATATTACCTATGTATAAGCAAAATACTTGTTAGTCACTGGACCGTATAGTATGGACTATAGAGTACGGCAGCACTCAATGTGTAATGTGTATAGGTGCCACAGACATAATATAATAGGCATGAGCCAGACTTTAATTGCAGATGCAGCACATAAAATTAAGCAGCCCCATTTTTTAACAATCGGCCAAATGAATGTTGAACAGTCAAAATTATTGATTTTAATATTATCAGTCTTGTAAAAAATACTTTTGAAAAAGTATTAAGATATTAATGCTAGTATTCGAATAAAAAAGTATTAAAAATACTTTTAAAATACTATTATAAAAATGTATTTTACGAATACTCACAAAGTATTTGAATACAAATAAAAGATTTTTTTTTAATTTTATGCTATATAATAAATATATGTATATTGAACACCAGTCTAGGTAGTTAGTATATTACTACTTACCATATATTTTAACAATTACTATATAACAATTAACATGTCTGACTATTTAGAGATAAATGTTAACAATATTTCATTCTGCATTCAGATATATTTCAAATAATATTGATTACATTTTAATGAAAAAAATCAAATAAAAAGTGGTGTTAACTATTAGTATATGGAACTATTTTAAAATTATTAGATTTTCAGTTTTCTTAAAAAATTCCAATACAGAAACCATATAAAATTTTATGTGGTATTTTTTAAATTTCAAACATTGTTATTACCTACTTTTAAAAACATAAAATTAGTTTTCAACGAAAACAATATATTTATATTGATGTAAATTAGTTGTGAAAAAATAATAAATTAAAATTAATAAAACGGATTTATGGTATTTTAATACAAGTATTTAAATTTTGTTAAAATACTTTTAAAAAGTATTCAAAATACTTAAAAAATACATTAAAAAAATTGTAATTAGAATACCATACAAATACTTAAAAAAAAGTATTTAAATACAAGTCAAATACTTGTCTTCGAATACTTCACAAGACTGAATATTATACACAGGCTGTGTTTTTATAACCAAATGGCAAATAGTGGCCATAATAGTATAATAATTTATTTTTTTAACAATTGACAAATGTAAACATACTTCCTTACATTTATTCACTGCTTTTGAGAAGACTTTATTAGTTGTATAACATAAAATCATAGATTAATTAGTCAATTTATTTTTCTTAATTATATAAAATACTTTGTACTGAAATAGGTAGTGATAACAAATAATAATAGTAAAATTACCTATTTTTTTTGTTCTATAAAACAATTAGTCTTCTCCTATCATTTGGTACCATTAATTTAAACTGGTTAATTACTTCACCAATATTAACATTAGCAGTAATTTTTTGTTCAACAAACCGAAGCAATAATGAATTTAACCTATCCTGAGGAATTGTGCTTCTTAGTTTATTTTTTATGATGCTTAATTTTGAAAAAGTTCGTTAGCATGAACAGCTGGTCACGGATATTACAACCATAGGCGTGTCCAGATCTCATCCGCAGGTCGTGCACAACAGTGGCATAATCAGGGGAGTAAAATGCATCCCCCCCCAAAAAAAAAAAAAAATTAGATCAAGATTTGGGAATATGACCCTCAAATTTTGAAAATAGTTTTACTTTTTTTATTAGGAATAAAAAACGATATTTTTTTATCAGATGAATAAATAACTAGGTAGATTATATTATGAAATTGTATTTAGTACCTACTTAATTTTAAAATATAATTATTTTAATACTAATTATAATTTTTACAAAGGTTTATTTTTACGTGATGAAAATCAAAAACTTAATACGAAATCAGAAACTTAGAAAAAAAAGTCTACCTATATTATGCACCCCAATTTATAATGTACCTACCTAAGTTGGATCAAATTTCGCAGGTCATGCCTGTGCATGACAGGCATGACCCGTAGACACGCCTAAGATTACAACAAATATCCGTAATACTTGTAAAAACTGTTTAAAAATATCTTCTATTAGAATCACTATTTATGGAGGCTGGAATGATGAAAAATAGTAATATTACATATTTAGCTATAATAATCGACTTTTATATAATTAGGCGGTTTAACCTTACAAAAAAAAAAATAGTTTAACGATTGTAATACGGGCACTTATTATAATAAGTCGATGAGACAATCTGTGATAAAAAAATGTCAGTGATTCTCAATGATTATTGCACATGATCAGTGTTCTGATTTTATAGCATTTGCTACTTATTATAGGACAGCGAAAAACATAGCAGAGTGGGCTATAAATTTGTTTTATGCACCAGGGACTCTAAATATGAAATTTTATTTTGCTATTTTTTGCATATTTGAAGAATTTTAGTCAGGCACGTAGCCAGAAAATGTCTACTAGGGGGGCCAATAATGTTTGGCCCTTTTATTACTTTCCAAAATTTTTCTTTATGAAATTCTTGTAAGGGGTATGCAATACAAAGTACAGTAATAGATATCTGTTACAAGATTTGTTCAGTTTAGAATATTATTACAACTAAAGTCAATATTTTATTATATTGTAAAAATTGACTTACACACTCGAGTACTCGACAATACGAAAAAAGCAACAATAGTTTTTTGTGTTCACAAATTTATTTTTAATTATCGAACAAAAACAATATAACATTTTTTAATTTTGAATATAATTTCAAAAACGGAAACAA